ACGGCTTAGAAGCTGCACATGGTAGTGCATATTCAATTACACGCTACATTGAAAATCTAAAGTCAACAGCCTTTTCTTGTCTTTCTAGTGAGTGACGTCTTCAGAAACTGTAAGATTTCAAAAACAAGTTTTGTGCACATGCAATTAACACTCATATTGAGAATGTTAGATCCTTGCTCACCAAAATCCAGCAGCCTAAAGTTGGACAAAAGGTGTGACCCAGTGAAAGCAAAATAAAATTTCCTATACTCTAAATAGAGATTTAGAACATTTTGACCAATAATGATGACAAAAATTTAGTAATTTTTACAGATTTGATTGAAGAAGAGCAAGTAACTAAGGATGTGTGCATGTTGAAATGTTCTTTTTGCAAGAATCTTTGCTGTATCGAAAACTTCAAAAACAATATGGCATTGTAAGAACTTCGGCGTGAGGATCATTCCGAACACCTTCTATGCGAAAATAAAAAACAAATTCAGATATCCCATACATATTCGAAGTATTATTGATTTATAACAGTAAAGCTATTTGAAATACGCGATTTCATTCAATTTTCCCGAAATTGTAGATCGACGTGATACTGGTGTGACGTACATGGATCAAACTGATACGGCTCGACAAGATGCTGATGGTCCATTCGGATTTCTAAAATGCATACAAACACCAGCAGTTGTTGAGGTAAATTATCTCTTCGTGATTCTTTAGTAATTATGATTCATTCTATTTTTTTTCTCAGACGACATCACTGCGACCCCGAGAGTCCGACTTTCTCATAGCGTACGCAACGCCGCCGACTTACGTCTCATGGCGTAATAGCCTTCGGGGCAGCTGGTTTGTACAGGCAATTTGTGAGGTACAGATTATCAGCTCAGCTAAACGTGCTTCCTTTCGAATGGTAGAGTTCTTGTTTAGGTGTTTGCTAAGCATGCTCGGGACATGGATATTCTTCAACTGCTCACAAGAGTAAATCAGAGGGTGGCGGAATGCTTCCAGACGAATTGCTCATCTTCTTACAAGCAGGTGAGCTTTGAATATACCTTATTATTTGATGTTTTCTGAGCAGTCCAAGAAACTATTTTTGAAACCAATAATGCTAAAAAGCAGCTGACAACAAGTGCTCACAAGAGTAAATCAGAGGGTGGCGGAAGTGCTGCATGCTTCGGTATTTTTTTCAATACTTTCATTTTTGAAAAGGAAAATCAAAGAAAAAATCTGTTAAAGTGGATAATTTAGTGCAACCGTTTTCGGTATTGAAGAATTTTCCAGAGCTGTATGTCAGTTGTTGTTTCAATACTAGAAGTTTTGCTTTGTTGATAAATCCACAGGGACTGTTAACTCGAAATTGCACTTACCCTAATTGATTATTTAGATTTTTTTTTTAATTTAAAAAAAAGTTTAAAAATGGTACCTACAAATTTTACCTGCTTTTATGGTGAATATCAGTCAAATATAAATTTGCATCATGATTCATTGTTTCATCTTTCTTGGTAGCTACTGTGAACTTGATCTTTGCTCAAATTTTTGTTTTGTTCTTTTACATTCTTCACTTAATATAGCTACAGCTGTTCACTCAAGCTAGATATTATTATACCCCTCATCCAGACATGCTTCTAATGCGCCTTTATTGTCTTGTTTTCAACTAGTCATATTGCAACTTATTGCTAATTATGCATCATTCTACTGCCATCAAGCGCTCATCTTTGTTAAAAACAAATTTTTTCACTTGTTCATCTCTGATGTTTTAATGTGGAATTTAGAAATTTTCTTTCAGATGCCAGAGTTCCATTCGCGACTCATCAAGCAGTTCTTCTTTTTCCCTGGTGTAAAACGTTCTTCAGCTGTTTGATCATCTTATTTTCATACAGAATAAGGTTCTTTTTGCAAATTTTCTAGTGCAGTTCGGCACGCATATGTGCTTCATATCAGACTTGCGTGTTTTCCAACCGACTATCGGTAGACTTATCTCATAGATTGCTTGCGTGCTCGTTAACTCGCTACTCCATCAAGGTGCGAAGTAGATGACGTATTTTCTCCTACGCATTTCATTCTAGTGCTAAAACAATGTGAATTCAATTTATTGCCTGTTGCAGCTGTAACGAATATAATACGAATTGAGCAGTGCGAGATTGCAAGGATGTACGATAGTCCTGCACAACTTACGAGATCATTAAGGTTTGAGGGGAACTATAAAAACATAATAACAGCATGAGCTTTCCACATTCTTGCACCTTCTTCAGCTTCCTGTCAAAATCTCTTACACTTTCTTTTTTTTGTGGGGTTCGCTTTGAAAATCTTAAAACTAAGCAAAATGGCCATATTTTGCTTGATGTCGTCTGTAATTTTAGCATTTGAAACGCACCCATTTCAAGATGGAGACCGTGTTGGTCGAAAGTTGTCTTCCTATGTTGAATTGCAAATTTTTCAGAAGCTGCAGCAGATAAGCCTGTTTGGCACTCTATTTTCAAGAAAATTCCACAAAAAATACATATTTTTATTAGTGCAAATTGCCAATAGATCGTTGATCTTTTAGGGG